CCCACAGCAGGGACAACTGTGAAGAGCAAATACACTGCAGCTGTGAAAAAGCTTGGCATGATAAGGGGTTTGGGGGCACTTGGTACCAATTATAAGAGCAATGCAAGCAGTAGTTACGACGTGAACTGCGTTTCAGGAAGACGGGTCCCCAGCCTACTTGGTGACTCACACAAGTCAGAGGGGTTTCTGTTCCTTCTGGATCTGTGTTGTTTTTGTATGGTCGTGGGTCTGAGGAAGGAAGGCTTGGGTGTGGTGAGTGACAGTGTCGGTGCTTGGCCTGGATCTCTGGAGAGAAAGTCCTTGTCTCTCACACCCACCCCTCTGTGAGCTGGAGAGGGGTCCACTGCTTCATTCAGAGGCTTGGGGTGGGGTGAAGTGGGCGAGCTGGGACCCCTGGAGGGCCCTTTAATTTAAGAAGCCTCTCTGATTATATTATCCAGAGGAAATATGGGGACCTAAATCGGAGGAGATGGCTGGGAAGTACATTACAGAACATTAAACAATAGCCGACCAGCATCAGACACAAATAAATGGCCCATAATCTACTGCCAAGAACATGATTGGTCCCAAGCAGTGGCCTGGCTGGCTTCCAGTCAGGGGAGTGCAGGGCTGGACACCACGTACTACAGGCCACAGAACGCCTGCCCTGGTCACGTCCCAGCACCCACAGGAGAAGATTGTGGCACCCAGACAGAACTCATAAGCTTCCACAAGATCTCAGTCTCCAGGACTGGAGGTGGGTCTTCTCTCCATCTTTTCCTGAGCCCTGGACCCAGACATCATCGGGAGAGTTCCTGCCTGCCTGAGAAATCCCATGTTGGAGAAGGGAAGCCACGTGTGTCTGTGGGCATAGGGTCGTTTGGCTCCCACCCCTGAAGAGAATGTCTGTGAAATGGGGTTCCCCTGGCTCCAGGAAGCCTCATTCCCCAAAATGCGCAGGTAGAAGCCCATCTCACTAAAGCCTCCTTTAGCTTAGATCTTTAACTCCTGTTACAACACAAATACCTCCAAAGAAAGATAAACCAGTCCCCTGGCAAGTCATGCACGCTTTAGTATGAAGTCCTTGTCTCAATCATTTGCTGAGAACTTCAAGCACTGATGTCCTGAGGAGAAGGCAGGAGAGTACAGAGGATAAAGACCTGGAGCTGGGTTTTTGGAGGCTGGGGTACAGGACCTTAAAAGCTACTATCCCTGTTTATCCATGGCCATAGCAGATTTGGTCTACATTGGTAAGAGCCCTGGACTTAGAGTCAGCGGGCAGGGTTCCAGTCTCCAGCTCTCCCCACACCAGCTGTGCCATCTTGGGCAAGTCACTTAACCTCTCTGAGCCTTCATTTCTCCATCTGAAAATCGGGAGTGAGGCCACACCCATCCTGGGTGCTGTGAGAGACTGAAGTGTGCAGAAGGCCTTTCATTCTATAAATATCACTGTCCTTGGGTCTGTGCCACCACATTCTAGAAACTGTACAACGGAGCCGCATCCGTGGATGGACCCTGGGGCTGAGTCAGTGCACAGACCGCAGCGAGTCCAGCCAGGACCGCCAAACCCAGGCCAGATCAGCTCACCCTTAGCTGACCCACAGACACATGAACTTCAACGATAAACAACTGTTGTTCAGCCACTGAGTGTTAGGGTGGTGTATCACCCGGCAGGGGTTAAAAGACACCAAAGTTAGGGCTCCTGACACTTTAAATCTCAGGGCCATGTTCAGTAGAAGTTAATATATATGACACATCTCTGCCTTCTTAGGCAAAATGAAGTGAGTACAAGTCTGTCTTCACTGGGTCATTTCCGCTCATCGCAGTGCAAACCAGTCAACAAGCGGTAAGTCAGTGGCGCCTTCAGGGGATACATACAGAATGGAGGCTCTAGAAATAGTTCCAATTGTTTATCCTTTTTGATCTCAGAACTATTCCCTGGTTCTTTGCCATTTTTCTTGTAATCAGTTTTATCAGCTGCCTTTGTTGTTCTTGTTGTCACTGTGTCTATCTTAAGCAGCAGTGCCCTCCCCAATCTACTGTGCTGCGGCTACGTCACCACCCTCAAGAAGCCTGCTCACTGAGCCTGCGAGGATGATGTCCCACGTAGGAGTTCACAGGCTTGGAGTGAGGGCCTGAGCTAGTTTTCTCTGTATCCAGGGCAGGTGCTTTAGTGCTGGGATTGCTATCATCAATTTTGGTCTCTTTGATGCTTTTTGCTCCCTCCTGCTCCACTCGGGGACCTGATAGTGGAGGCTGCCAGGCAATGAACATCTGAGCCAGAGAGCTGTGCTGTATCTGGCGTTGCTGGAATCCAGTCTCTTCTGAAGAGAGTGAAGGAAAGAAGCAGCCCACAGGCCTGTAAGAGCGCTTCCTCCGTCCCAGCCCGTCTCTGGGGCCTGCGCTGCCTGCGGTTCCCCCAGAGCAAAGCCGGGTCCTGTTTGTCTTGTGTCCCCTGCAGCCACTTCGCACAGTGCCAGGCGCACAGTAGGCGCTCACTAAGCTACGGTGGGTGGAACGAAAAGACTTCCTGGTGGCACTTTTCACTATGTGCACAGGGCTGGGCTTCTTCAGAAGAGTTAAGAATCTGTGAGCTTCTGAATACAGACTATTTCACGTCAGATTGTGGGAAACTACTTTGAAAGGATTAAAGTTCTCCCTGTTAAGGAACAGTTCCCGTTTCAGGGCATAAGTTTATTTCTGAACTGTGCTATCAGGAAGCCCTGGCGACAAGAAGAAGGGGACAAAGCAAAGTGAGGAAGCAGATGTCTTTTTTTGCTCTGTTGAGCTGACACCTTAGTGACTCCCCCCAGAGCTACCCCACTGTTTTACCAAATGTTTAAAGAGCACATTCCCCACCAGAAGACCTGGATGTAGCAGTTTACGAGGAAGTGCCTATGGACAGGTGGGCTACCTCTTCTCAGTTCCCACTCCCGTCACTCAGCCAGGGGCTGACCCCCATGACTGCATCAAGGGGCTCCCCTGCCCCGGCTTCCGATGGGTTCTGCCGTGAGAGGCACTGCCAAGAGGTGGTCGGATTGGAGGGGGGAGCGGTCGGGGTATTTCTTCTGCGCTCGCTCTCTGCTTTGGATCCCTCTGTGACCAAGGCTCCTCTCAGCAGCCCCTCCTCCAAGGTCCCAAATCTCCCCGGGATCCAGTTCCCCACTTGGTCCTCTTGTCTCCTCAAGCCCCGGGGTGGTAAAGGCTTCCCTCAGCTGCTCGTTGCTCAACCTTCCTTCTTGGCGCCTCTAAGCCCACCCACACCCCTGAAAGCGGGCCCCTCATTCCAGTCTTTTCTCGAACCATCGGAGTTACTTCTCCCTGCTGTTACCCTGACTGGAACGGTCTGTACCAAGTCTTGCCTAAGAGATGTCTCAGCTATGCCGAGGCTCTCTCGAGGGCAAGGAGCTCAAAGAAAATCAGAGGTCCTCTTCTCTCCAGCTTTCAGAACTCATTAGCCATTGTGGCTGTATCTAAATTAAGTGGTACAAAATGATGGCAGACTCCAATCTATAGATGAGAAATGTTTTCATTCCTTCATGCACTCATCCACTCACCAACTATTTATTGGGCATCTACCCTATATTTCCCCGCGTAACTAGTGATAATGGCCAAGACAGACACAGTCCCTGCCCGCTTGGTGCTTACAGTCTACCGCCAACCACCTGCCAGAAGCCAGAGAGCCCGCCAGAGGCAGGGCTGGGACCAGAAGACTGAGTTTCTTTGAGTCCTGAGCCTTTGGCAGATCCTCCAAGGAAGCTATGGCCCAAACAAGGTTAAGAACCACCAAGCAGACCAAATTAACTATATGAAGCTTCCCCGCTGAATCGGGGAATAATGACCCACTCACTCCCAGAAGCTTGGCGCTCTCAGCCTCAACTGGGAGTGGGACGTGCCAAACCGTCCACCTTTCCTGCCCCCCACCTCCAACGTTCTCCACAAACTGCCTGCACTCCTCCCTCCCGTCACACGTTTATAATTAGCCCCACGCCCTCCTCTCTGTCCCTCCCTCAGGGCCCACAGATGCTGGCAGCTCCACGGGTCACTGAACCATTCTTATGAATGGAGAGGGCTGGGGACCGCATCCAGAGCTGTGCCCTCCCTCCTGGAGAGCCTGTGCCCAGCAAAGGCGGTGGGAGTGAAACTTCTGCCTCAACTCAAGTACCTCTGAGCTGCGTGCTGGAGGGTGTGACGGAAACGGCTTTTTCTGGGGAGAGCCAGGGGTGACCGAGGAGAACTGAGGGGGGCTGTGACGGGACCGGCCGCCAAGCCTGGGGTCTGTCCGCCCCCCTCAAGCCCTCTGGAAACATCCGAGTTTCCTCAGAAAGCTTTAAAGAGGCCGTGCCGGTAACCCAATACTTCCCCTGCCCGCGGTCGGGCAGGACAAGGGCAAAGCCTGGAGCCCTCAGGAGAGGTTGCCAGGCCGGGGTGGAAAGAGCCCTCTCCCCACCCCCAGCGCTACGCCCAGCTCCGGGCCCGCCTGCCCCCTGCCCCCCTTCCACCTCCCCTCTTCGCTGAGGCCGAAGAGAAGCCCACCTCGGGGAGAAAGCCCAGCAGGAAAGCCCACGGGGCCGGAGAGACGGAGACCTGGTCCTGAGGCTGCAGGGGCCCCCGGACCCGGCACAACCAACGGGACTCCCTCCCGGTCAGCACGCTGCACAGCATCCCCTGTGGGCCGAGCCCCCCGCGAAGGGTTCAGGGGTGTATTTATCGAAATGTCTGGACGACTCACTTGCCTTCCTCTCTGCCTCTGTTAAGCTCCCCACAAATCCCGACCCAAACGCAACCCTGCAGCCAGTGAGGGGAAGAAACAGTCTGTTCAAGGGTCTCTAGCTTTGAGCAGCTGGGCGGGGACAAGGACAGAAGGGGCGTCCCGACGGGGGCTGGCCGGGTGACCGGAGGCTGCTAGGGCCGGCTCCCTCCCAGCCTCCCTCCACCCCGAGGGGAACGGCTGCAGAATAGCCCTTCTCCCTCCCCCTGCCCGACACAGGGGAGACAGGGAAGTTGTGGTCCTGCTTTACCTGCTGAAATCGGAAGCACGCTGGTGAGGAAAGTGGGCTGAGACACGATGAAACGGAAGAAAAGCTGAAGATAAATTCCCAGGGTCACTGGATTCAGGACAACCATGCTGGCTGCGGTCTGGAAAGTGTCAAGTTCTCAACGGAGGGCTGCAAGGAGCCTCGCTTATCTGTGCTTTGTCTTCCCCACGCTGTTTGCCTCTGTCTCTCCCTCACTCTCTCTGCCTCTCTCTCTCCGTCTCTCTCTCCGTCTCTCTCTCTCCCTCTCTCTCCTTTCCCCATGCCTTTACCAAGAAGGAATGCCAACCATTTCCCACTAAACCTTCTCCGTACTACACAGGGTTATATTTATCTTGAGCACTGGATCAAGTGCCCTCATTAAAATTAAGATATCCGAATTTTCTTCTTTGGTGACTGAGGTAAGAGGCCATTGAAGAGGTGATTAAAAAGGCAGCCAGATCTCGAATGCCCACTAGAAGCAGTCCTCAAGGGCAGACAGATTTCCTCATTGATTATTCACCAGTGCCTATCGCCTCGCAGCTGAGGTGTCCAGCAGCATCACAGAATCCATTCGAACCTCTGGATTCAAACTGAATTTCCGTGGGGACAAATCCTTCTGCTGTCAGTCCGTGACATTTTTACCCACTGGGGGACAAATGTAAAGCTGACCCTGGATTTTTTTTCTTTAATCATCCAATAAAACGCAGAGGTGTGGGTGGGGAGATTTTATAGTTTCCAAAACAGCTTTCTCCATAAAAAAGTGTTTATCTCTCTCCAGAATTTGCAGCCTTTATCCCATGCAAAGCAGCGCATGAAAAATGAAAAGAGTCAATGGATTGCAAAGTGAATGATTATTGGTCAAACTGCATTTGGGAAACAACATCATTGACTTGACCTTTGGCTAGACAAAATTCTTCAAATAAAAAGTGTCACATCCTTCGATGAATCCTCTTATGAGTTTATAAAGACTGTTATAGAGATCCTTAGGTCTCTCTATATAAATAATTAAAATAATAACCCACATTTTGCTTTAATCTACATAACATACTCCCAGGGTCTCATGGGAGCTAATTCAGAAATGGTGTGGTAGCTCCCGACTCTGGAGTCCAGTAGCTGAGCCTCACTCTGGGGGAAGGTGGGGTTGGGTGAAAGCATAGGATGAGGCGATACCCACAGCGCCAGCACCAGAGGGGCTTGACTCCAGCTCTGCTGTGACCATGGACAAAGTGCTTGATCTCTCTAAGCCTCAGTTTTCTCATACAATGGAGGCGTTCCCCTTTAAAGCCTTGTTGGAAAGGTTAAATTAGGTAACGCGAGATGACTCATACATGAATTTAAAATTGTGTATAGAGACAGCCAAAATGAAACCCGCGGAGCCATGGTAAATGGGCGGCAGATACGGCCACCAACAATCCCTCCCATCCCTGTATGTGCACTCCACTCTTCCCAACAAGAGGCGGGTTCTGTTTCCCCTCCTGTCCAGTCTGGGCTGGCCTTGTGACTAGCTTTGACCAACAGAATGTGGCTGAAGTGACATTGTGCCATTTCCAGGCCTAGGCCTTAACAGGTCTGGCAGCTTTTGCTTTTGCCTTTTCTTGGAAACCAGCTGCCACATTAAAAAGTCTGGACTATTGAATAGGCCACAGGGAGGGGGAAGCAGCAGGCCCCTGGCTGTCTGGTCATCTCAGAAGAGGCACTAGACAGAGTGAGGTCAATTTGGATCATCTGGCCTCATTCAGGTCCCCAGATGATGGCAGTCACAGAAGTGACCAGGGGAGACCAGCTGAAGAACTACACAGATGAACGCAGCCCAAATTACAGATTCATGAGCAAATGTTTTTTTGCTGTTGTTTTTGCCTTCAGTATCCTGAAGTCACTAGGTCTTAAGGTGATTTGTTATGCAGCAACAGCTAACTGATACAGGACTTATAAGAAAAGCATGAAGAATATACTTGAGTTACATTCAAAATTAACAGGGCAGTTTAAAGAGGGGGTACCCCGTGTCACTGTTCCCAAAATTTTTAACAGAAGGATCATGATTGTTGGCCAAGTCCAACCAGGGAATTCTTAGGCTTGTTCTCATTAACTCTGGAAACCTCTGGCCCCAGCAGTGGGCTTTGGGTGGCTTGGAGAAGATGCAGGCTACGTAGGGGGAAGGTAACTTTTGAGTAACTTGGTGCCAGAATCTGAACTTTTACCGTCCAGCTCTGATTCCTCCTGTGAGAAGCAAAGGGATTTCTCCTTCTCTCAGCGCACAGATTTCACCACTGACCGTGCAGCTGGCACAGATTATGTCACTATGTCCTGCCCGTAACACCTGCTGGTATTGTTTCTGAACTGCTTCTAAACCACCATATGTTGCTTTTTAACCTGTGTTAACGTCTCTAAAGATGAGAGACTGGGACTTCCCTGGTGGTCCAGCGGCTAAGACTCCGCGCTCCCAATGCAGGGAGTCCGGGTTTGATCCCTGGTCAGGGAACTAGATCCCACGTGCCTCAACTAAGAGTTCACGTGTCACAACTAAAGATCCTGCATGCGGCAACGAAGATCCTGCATGCCGAAACTAAGGCCTGGCGCAGCCAAATAAATATTTTTTAAAAACATATGGGGGACTGTTCCAGAGCTCTGTGCACCCCTGCAGGCCCCAGGACAGTCCTCGTCACCTAAAAGATCCTCAACAATGTCAGTTAATGTGATCCAATCACACCATTGTAAGATGAAAAGAAAGTAGGAAAAGTGACATAAACTTATGCTCCAGCCATACTAAGCTGTGGGCCAGGGCCTTGTCCAGGGAGGGCTGGGGCGAGCGTGGAGACTGTGGACAGTGGCCTGAATACAGGAGGCTGAATGTACACTCAGGCCACCGGGGGGAAGTCACTACTGATGTAAAGTTACAACGGGAACCTCTACCCTCTGGGGAGGCCCCAGCACAGAGGTATTTATAAGCCCCCAATATTTATTAAATTGTGTTTTGTAAATTTCTGTGTCCCATGGACCATGTGTTTTATGAGCCTATTTCACATCAGGTGACCTTAACTGACTGAGGCAGAAATTATTATCTCTCTTCAAACCCTTCTGGAAGGGCTCTGAATCTTTCAGAATCTAATAACATGAGCTATTAGATTTTTCCAGAAAGAAATTATCTGAGATTTGTGAAAGGCTTATACCAATAAAGCCAATCAAAGTTAGAGCCTTCCACCCCAAGCCTTGTAGGTGGGGGGGATACTAAGATACTAATCTGGGGTCCCCACCACTTAACACTTAACATGCACATGCCATTTCACCCAGAGATTCCACAGAAATACTCATTCAACTGCCCAGTGGTTTAGATGCAAGGATATTCATCACAGCCTCAGATTTGAAACAGGCTATCACTCCATTCAGTGATTATACAGTCATTACAAAGAATAAGGTAGTCTCTGCAACAAATGATGCTGGAAAATTGGTCTTCCATATGCAAAACAAACAAGAATGAACCATAACCCTTACATTGCCCCCTACATAAAAATTAGCTCGAAGTAGATCATAGACCTAAATGTAAAAGCCAAAATCGTTAAACTTTTAGAAGAAAACAGGAGAAAATCTTAGTGGCCTTGGATTAGGCAAATATTTTCTCTTTAAAAAAATTCTATATATTTAAGGTGTAACAACATGATTTTTTTGATGTACATATACATTGTGAAATGATTACTACAGTCAAGCTAATTAATGTATTCATTACCTCACATGGTTATTTTTTTTCTAGTGAGAACACTTAAGAAGTACTCTCTTAGAAAATTTCAAGTGTACACTACAGTATTATTAACTATAGTCACCATGCTGTGCATTAGAACTCTAGAACTTTTTCATCCTACATAACTAAAACTTTGTTCCCTTTGACCAATATCTTCCCATTCCCCCCCTCACCCCTAGTGACCATCCCTGCTTCTGTGAAAAAAAGATTTCTTAAATAGGACACAAAAAGCACAAACAATAAAAGAAAAAAAATTTTCATGGACTCATCAAAATTTTTTAACTTCTGCTCTTCAAAAGACAATGTTAAATTGAAAAGACAAGCCAAAAACTAGAAGAGAACACTGGCAAAACACATATATGATAAGGGACTTGTATTCAAAATACATAAAGAACTTTTACAACTCAATAATAATGAAATGACCCAATTAAAATAAATGGGCAAAGGTGTGAATGGATACTTTACCAAAGAAGATACATGCATGGCAAACAAGCACATGAAAATATACTCAACATCATTAGTCATTAGGAAAATGTAAATGAAAACCATAGTGAAATACCACTACATACTACTAGAAGGGCTAAAATTAAAAAGACTGACAATTCCAAGAGTCGGTAAGGATGTGGAGCAGCTGGAACGCTCCTAGTTGCTAGTGGGAATGCAAAATGGCACAACCATTTTGGAAAACGGTTTGGCAGTTTCTTATAAAGTTAAATATATACTTACTACACTACCCAACAATTCTACTCTTTGGTATTTGTTTAAAAGAAATGAAACATATTTCCACCCAAAGACTAGTATGTATGTGCATGTTCATAACCACTTTATTTGTAATAACCAAAAACTAGAAACAACCCAAGTGGCCATTAACTGGTGACTAGATAAACAAACTATGTACAAGGCAACCGTAGTCAGTAACATGTGACGAACTGCCAAAACGAGGGACATGGCTGAATCTCAGACGCATCATGCAAAGTGGAAGGAGCCAACACAAAACGCTAATCCTGCTTAATTCCATGTACACAGCCTTCTGGGAAAGAGAAAACTCTAGGGATGGAGAACAGATCAGTGGCTGCCAGGAGTTAGGGTTGTGAGGAGAAAGTTCACTGCAAAGGGAACTTTTGGTGTTGACAGCAGTGTTCTCTATCTTGATTGGAGTGGTTGTCTCCTATGTCAAAACACAGCAAACTGTACTCTTAAAAACAGTAAGTTTTACTTTATGTAAATTTTCCCTCAGTAGGGGACTTCCCTGGTGGTCCAGTGGTTGACACTCTGCACTTCCACTGCAGGGGGCATGGGTTCGATCCCTGGTTGGGGAACTAAGATCTCACAAGCCACGTGTCACAGCCAAAAAAAAAAAAAAAAGAATTTTCCCTCTATATACGTGACTTTAAAAAATAAGAAAAAAGATAGTTCCCATTTATGCACTGACATGGAAGCTTGTCCATGTTGAGTGAAACTGGAAAGT